GGGGGGGGGGGGGGGGGATATGGACTTTTGGGACACCCTGTATAGTCAGGGCAATTAAACTAGGCAGAGTTAAAATTTTGGAATTTTGAAGCCGAGGCTAGCTGTGGGATCAACCACAAATTTTTATATTTTAATTGTTTGCTCATTTTACAGACATATGTTAAGTTATAATTCGTTATTGTTGACCTGCTCAGAGATTACATATCAATGACAAAAGTGTGAGACCACGTATGTCCGTTCGCGAGATTGTAGACTCCCAGTCACACTTTATTTTTTCCATAGAAACTTATAGTTAACGTATTTTTATCAAAACTTCTTCAATTTTTTTCTGGATTTCATTAGCGAACATCAGAGAATGTTATCGACCGCATGGATTTGTATATCATTGCCAGGCAATGGTATTTAACTCAGGATCTAATAATCACTCAAGGATCAATCCCTCAAATGTGAAGATTTAAACTTCATTGCTGGCCCATCGCATCTGTCTACTTGAGGCGTGATGGCAGAACAAAAGAAAGGGAGATCCCATTCAGATTTGAAGCTAGTGTCCGCGATGAATTGATCCGGCCTCCCGACACTTGACGTGATGCGTGCAATAATGAGCTATCGAAGCATATCATATGCAGTCTCTGTTCCAGTTATCATAACATCAAAAACATCAAAATCTCATTAAAGGTGTCCGAAAGCAATATCAAATTTGCATCTACAAATTTAATTTCTCAATTCTCTGCCACCAAAACTAAAACTTCTGTTCAGGGACACCGGTTTCGCATCATTAATGTTGGAGCTAAAACAGCTCCTACTTCGTGAAGCTTTCTATAGCATTGATGAGCTGCTTCAAAAAGAATATGATTTATACTAATTCAATGTTTTGTTGTTATTGCTATTGTAATATTTTCATTTGTTAATAACTTGCATAATGACTGTAATTGCAGTTTTTATGTAGGAGACTTTTAAAATAAAATAAAATAAATAAAAATAAAAGAGCATCAATTGCTAGAAATAGCCCAATTTTGACTTGGATTGAAATTCGGAACCTCAGGAAATCGAAATTATTCGTTGGGATTTTTCATGGGCTTAAAACATATCCTACAAATGCTAGATTCGAAACCTCAGAAAATTGAAATTTTTTTATGCGATTTGGAAGAATGTTCATCATGTTTACCCTGTAGGAATATCCTCACTAGCCACAAACGATTTTGAGAAAAAATCAATTTTCGGTCCACCCTACTGTACATGGAAAGGTAAGTTTCCTACTACTGGTCTCAGTTAACAAAAAAATAAATGGTATGCCAGTGAATGGTTTAATTTATTCTTTGATTTAAAAAAATAAATGAGTGTGCTGTCATTGTCCGAAGAATGAGCCCTGATCTGCTACAGAGCTGATCTGCTGATCTCTCGCGATATCTTGGGTTTACTCCTGGGCCATGAACTGATGAGACAATCATTGTTTCGGCGTATTGTACACTATACTTAGACGTTGCTTACTTACATTTTCGGTACTTTTATTTCAATCATAATGCAATATACTGAGAAATGTAAAATTGACTGTCCTGGAGCTGTAATGGGGCCGTTGTTAGATCCAAGAATGGAGAATTTGCACACAAAAATTGTACTGCTTCATCTGCGAGTGCCTAATGAGCTGAGTTCGCAGTATTTTTCATACTTTTTTCTGAATTGGAAAATTGGAGGAAAATCGATTTAAAAGTGAGAAAATGTGCCACCTTATGACGTCATCTGGCAGCATTTTCTGGGTAGACACGTGTATTTAAGCAGATTAGGTTATTTCGTCACATTTTCTTCAATAATTGTCCAATTTAAAAACCAAGGATATTCTAGTGATCAGTTTTAATGGCAGTATCATTTTAAGGATGAAATTCACAAAATTCAAGGCACCTGCAAATTCTCTATTGCCTCGAAAGTAGGCTTCTCCAGGGTAAATGTCAGCGCATTTCTGAGAGTAAATCCAATTTAGCATGGCTCCCATACAATCAGATTACTTATCCTTTCAATGAAATTATAATCGGATAGTGAATGTAAACAAACATTGGTTAAAGCATATCCATCAGTCAATTCTTCATGTGAAGTTACAAGATCCAGTGGCACAATATTTTTCCATTTGAAGTGAGATTGGATTTTCAAAGACTAAAGCAGTCATTCCTTCACTTAAAATTTGATTAAATGTGATACAAGAAGGAATTCTAATTTTATATGGAACTCCTGAAAATGCAATGGAAAAAATTGTGGAACAGCCCGCATTTTTTCAAATCGGCATTGAATAAGTATATAATCTGTACTAGATAAATGTCATGCGGTAAAAATTGATGCTCAATGAGATATCCTCACCTTGGAATTTCTTCTAGAGCTCTAATTCCATAGCCTTTTTTCTCCGTTTTGAAAACTTCACACTTGACGTATTCTCGATTTTGAAACTGCTTGTTAGAGCAGCGGCTGTACAAGGGACATCTTGATCCACTGAAATGAGAGGTTGAATAGATTTGAACTGCAGCTCAAAAATTGCACACGGAACAAAATCTTGAACGACAATGCAACTATAATTTGAAAGCAAGTAAGATATCGACGGTGTAAGTCCGCAATCACATATCTCGTTGGTGGTGTCTTAAAATCTCCACCTGTTATTTTTTTAAAGGAGAACAAATTGACATCATTCCTTGAAGTTTTAGCAGAACTTTCTTCGCCCAGAGAAGAAAAATCACGGCAGTTTTAAAGAATTGCCGTTGAGTACTTATCTGTTCAAAAAATAAAGAATGACAGGAAGTCTACGACATCGCAAACCGCGTTATGTGACTGCCGACTTACACCGTTGATATACGGCATTCCCTTCATAATGAACTTCAAAATAGAAAATTCTGGAAAATATGGTTGTCAAAGGTAACTTTCCACTCTTAACAATTGTTTTTTCTTCATTTCCTCTGTTATAATCAATCATGTATGATTTCAAAACAGCCTTCTAAAAGAACATACATTTTTTGGAATTTGAAGATTGTCAACAAAGCAAATAAAACGGTTTTTCTTGTTTTTCTCATCTGCATCGGCAATTTTGGCGTTTACTTGATTTGGGAAATAATCTGTTCAATTATGCACGGGTGCACATTCAACAGATCAGAGAGACCTTGCAAGGAACTTTTGGTCTTGTGCGTGTTGTACAGAATTCTAGAATAAGCCACCAGATGAGGTCTGATCAGAAAAAAAGTCATATGTTAACTCTTCAAAATTTTGTGTAGCAATTGATTCACACATTGGGAAGTTCAGAAACCAACTCCTGAACGGTATATTAGACATATTTTTATTAGATCATATGGAGGTTAGATAATACACACAACTACATTTGTATTTTTGCCGTTTCACTAATGGTGCTTGTAAACACTTATACCTTGATTACGAGATGATTTTCATGATTGAGCGTTTTTGCAGACAAAGACCCCCTACGATGAGCAGGCGAGCAGGGCCTCGCCGAATCTTCTTCGGAGCGGGAGTAGCTGGTAGAGCGTGCATGAAGCTCGCTCGGACTCCATGATTATGCTCTGTTGCTCTCTCCTCTCCTCTACTCTTTGCTCATAATGGCGCCAAGCACGAATTTCACTCTCGGAGAAAAATTAAACTGTTCAGCTCAGTGAATTGAACTTTTTGATCAAGATTAATTTTCTAAAAGAGTTCAAACCAAGTCCTAGCCGCGGTAATTCTCAAAATTCTTTGGCAAGACATTTTTCTGATATAATTTAAGGATTAAGGAGGGAAAATCTTTAGCATTTCTGGAGAAATCACAAGCTTGTGTGGGGGCCTCAGCGTTCTGGGGCATTGAAATCAAATCCTAAACGTACCTACTTACATTTTGAATTTTGATGGAAAATAAGGGGGGGGGGAGGGGCTTCATTTATATCTGAGTCATGAGGATGCCAGATGATAAGGGATGAGTTTGAGGATTTTTGCGCACAGCAGAGGTGCACAGAGATGTTTTCAGGAGCATTGGGGGAACTAGTTAGGAGGAGGGGGGGGGAGAAAAATTACCCTCTCCTGACTTCAAGAAATATGAGGGCTTTTGCTAAATTAGCTGTGTTGCCAGACTTTCATCGTGGAATTTATAATTCTACCAAAAATATTTCCATGTAAAGATGAACCATCAAGCTACAAATTTAACTCAGCATTCGCACAAATTTATCAATTTTTTTTGTGGCACAATGGTACAACTTCTAGGAAACATCCTGTTAAAGGTAACGAGGCGCTTAGCATATTTCTAGAAAAATTTGCTAAAAAAATAAAGTACGTAACGATCCAAAAATTAGTGAATTTTACCAGTCAGGCATCAAGGGGTGAAATATGGGAACATAAATAAATAGCATTAGGTACCTAAGATGACATTTGAATCAGTAAGTTCGAAACACCAACTCGGAAAAAAAATTGTTCAGGAAACACCTAAAACTTCGCAGCGGGCGAAGAAGTTAGTTTAAGAAAAACCTTTTTGGTGCCAAAGGACGCAAGAAGTACTCTAGAGACTTTGTAAAGCACCAAATTTCAGATACTGATTTTTCATAGTGTGTCTGCCCTGAAAAATGTATATATTTGGACCTGAATAACGCTTGAATATTTATATAACTTGTTGGCACAAGGTATACTGAACCGAAAAAAGAAAACTGCATAATCGGATGGTCACCCGTTTCCCTTGATCGGCCAAAAATTGGTATTTCCAATGAAATACTTTGTTTCTTCCCTTTTCTCGTCGCTAGAGCCCGTCGCTGTTTCGAGCACTTCCGATTGCAATTTCGAAATATCCTTTTGCATGCAGATGCTTCTGCTTATCCATAAGTGTTACTAAACCGTAAAAAAGTGAAAATCGAAAATAACCTGTGTTGGAGTGTTTCCGAACTCACTGATTCATTTTACATTATTGGAAACATGATTAGGTACTCGGATGGATAAGGTGGGGAAGCGGCAGATGATAGGATGGGTTAGAGTAGAAAGTGCTCAAACTGCTCTGAGTTCCCGTCGCGCCATGCAGCCATCTTGCCTGCTCATTCGAGGGGGTCTTTGCCTGCAAAAAGTAAGCATCAATTTTCATACTTCCTCTGTGTGATTTTTTCCCCTTGTGAATCTTTAAAGAGAAAACATGTTGCAAAGTGCTTTGATTCATACCTTGTCTGGAGGCTCACTGTCTTTTTCCCTGATATTTAGAAGCAAAATTCTCGACGAAAACTTGAGAGATTCCTCCCACTTTTCAATACTTTGTCTTTAGGAAGACGAGATTCTTGCCATGACTTTGGAGCATAAATATTGATTCTTTAATCTTCTGGCTATTTCTTCACCATTAAGTTGACAAGGATATGCAAGTTACAATAATAGTCTCCATGAAGAAATGTAAGAATTTTGCGGTTTTAAATACTGATTTCATGATTTTCCCTGAGATGTATCTATTCGGAATGAATCTGAATACTTTTAGATCCCAGGCCCTATGTTTTAGAATTGATATTAATTGTGTATAGCTTGTTCACCACATAGCAAAACAATATTTGGCAACAATAAAAGAGGGGTCAAGGGGAATTATTTTAGTTGTGGACATTACATTCTATGCCTGAAACTGTCGATAAGTAGGTCTGCTTAGCCCACAAAATTCAAAATTTTTCGAAGACTGAGTAATGTACCTTGCTCTCTATCATGCTGCAAATTTTTGTTGAAAAAGATTGTGTTCAATGCAACATGCAGATCAAAGAAGGCCATTGCAGATGTTACGAAAAAGACCTCTCATTTGTGAGAACCTTACTTTGACTTCAATTTTTATAGGAACTATTTACCTCATCTAAATTCTGGATAACCCTGGTAACGGCTAATTGAGTCTAATTTACAATTAAGTATCCGTCTTAAATAAAGTTTACATGATTTTTTTTGGGATATTGCCGTTTTTATGGCGTTGCGGGCGTTACAAGGTTTTGTTGCGGACGTTACTACCAAAGAACTTTGTACCTAAAATAGGCTGTAACTCTCGCAGTTTACCAAGTGATTGAATGAAGAAGTAACAACATGAATTAGGAGAGCCAATTGTCAGAACACTCTATGAATTGCACCTTAAATTCAATACGAGAAGCTGTGAGAAACTTTCCGAAATAAACATCTGAGGTGATGGTACAGCTGAGCTTCTGTCTTTAAAATACAACCTAAAAATAAATTTAAGCGCTAATTATATGTGAAAATGAACAGAACAGCAAAGGTAAGAGACGTTACGTTTTCATTAGTATAAAAATGCGCCTTTTAAAAAAATACAGGGTGTCCTAGATCACCCGTATAGTGCTATTTATTTAGTTCTTTTAGGTCTAATGAAGTCTGATACGGCAGAAATGGAAAGGAATCTAAATTTCATCCCCCCAAGACCCTTGCTGCCCTCATTGGTAGTTAACATGGGGGATCCACCTTCAAAAGTGGGGGTGCCGGTTAGGAAGAGTCAAAAAACATTGAATTTCGAATTTCAGAAATGGAAAGGAATCTGAATTTCATCCCCCCAAGACCCTTGCTGCCCTCATTGGTAGTTAACATGGGGGATCCACCTTCAAAAGTGGGAGTGCCGGTTAGGGAGAATCAAAAAACATTGAATTTCGAATTTCAAAAATGTATAGGGGGGAGTTACGCCTAGGCATCAAACTAAAGTGTGCCAAAGCGTTCCTCGAACAAAAAATTTCTTGGGGTGCCGCTTTTGCAATTTGTGTCGAAAAATCATCACGTAATTCAAGTTGTTTTCGCCGATTCCATCGCACCGTTTAAGCATTATAAAGATTGGCTAGAGCCCTGATTTTTGGAGTATTAACTCACTTCTAGTAGTCATTTAAGGTATGCTAAGTAGTTCTTAGATCAAAATATTTTGGGTGCCCCCCACATGCCCTTAAAAATGCAAAAAACGCGATTGCTGCCGAATGCACCTCGTATATTTCAACGATTTTATCGATTTTTTCAGGTGACTTGGCAACCACGCAAAAAGGAAATTTTCCGTTTATAGGAACCATTCATATAGATGATTAGGGGAAAATATTAGTTTTTCGAATGCAGGCGGTTTTTCCCTCATTTGTCAGCTCACAGTTAGGCCGAATCGCTCGATTTGGCCGAAATCACATCGATTTTCGCTATTGTTTGGCACGACTTGGCAAGCATGTGAAAAATCGAGCTTTCAATTTTCGTAGACTCTATTTATAGTAGAATAAGAGGACATACTAAATAATTTGCTGGGGGATGTTTTTGTACCTCCGCGGAGCCCTTACCCAACCAGAAAAACACGATTTTTAGCGACTTTTCAGCGGTTTTTGACGATGATTTTCAGTGACTTGGCAACCACGCAAAAATTTGACCCTTTAATTTTCAGAGACTCTTTTCATGGCAGAATAAGATCCCGTAAAACGTCTTTTGTTTAGGTCATTTTTTGTACCTCCTCAGAGGCAAGAAAAAGATGTCTCTTGACTCCCATTCATCACTTTAAAAACCTTAAATATTTTAACTCTTTTGTTCACATATTAAACTTGTATTGTTAATTAAACGTTTATTTATTAAAAGACTTCTTACTTTATAATTGTGCATTTTACTTTAAATCAGGTAAAGTAACAAATTAAACCTTCAATGAATTAAATATTTAAATACAATAATGAAATAAAACTAATAATAATTGATAATATTTAATAATTAACTAATTAAATCACTAAAATTTAATAATTAAATATTTTGGTGAACTTTGGTATCAATTACAGCTCAAATATGTAAACAAAAGAGTTAAAATATTTAAGGTTTTTAAAGTGATGAATGGGAGTCAAGAGACATCTTTTTCTTGCCTCTGAGGAGGTACAAAAAATGACCTAAACAAAAGACGTTTTACGGGATCTTATTCTGCCATGAAAAGAGTCTCTGAAAATTAAAGGGTCAAATTTTTGCGTGGTTGCCAAGTCACTGAAAATCATCGTCAAAAACCGCTGAAAAGTCGCTAAAAATCGTGTTTTTCTGGTTGGGTAAGGGCTCCGCGGAGGTACAAAAACATCCCCCAGCAAATTATTTAGTATGTCCTCTTATTCTACTATAAATAGAGTCTACGAAAATTGAAAGCTCGATTTTTCACATGCTTGCCAAGTCGTGCCAAACAATAGCGAAAATCGATGTGATTTCGGCCAAATCGAGCGATTCGGCCTAACTGTGAGCTGACAAATGAGGGAAAAACCGCCTGCATTCGAAAAACTAATATTTTCCCCTAATCATCTATATGAATGGTTCCTATAAACGGAAAATTTCCTTTTTGCGTGGTTGCCAAGTCACCTGAAAAAATCGATAAAATCGTTGAAATATACGAGGTGCATTCGGCAGCAATCGCGTTTTTTGCATTTTTAAGGGCATGTGGGGGGCACCCAAAATATTTTGATCTAAGAACTACTTAGCATACCTTAAATGACTACTAGAAGTGAGTTAATACTCCAAAAATCAGGGCTCTAGCCAATCTTTATAATGCTTAAACGGTGCGATGGAATCGGCGAAAACAGCTTGAATTACGTGATGATTTTTTGACACAAATTGCAAAAGCGGCACCCCAAGAAATTTTTTGTTCGAGGAACGCTTTGGCACACTTTAGTTTGATGCCTAGGCGTAACTCCCCCCTATACATTTTTGAAATTCGAAATTCAATGTTTTTTGACTCGCCCTAGTGCCGGTGCCTGTCAAAATTATTCCATCAAACGCGGGCAATACAACAATTTTTTACCTAGACAATCACCAAAATATCCAAAACTGGCCAAGTGCACTGCCCAGAAAATTGCCTCAGAGTTTTTCACTGCACACGAAAATATTTCTCAAAATCATGTTGAAAAAATGTGATTTTCGCGGGCATCGACAGATAGCAGCAATTTGCAACATTGCCGATATAGGCCCCCGGTGTGCACTATAGTAACGCTGTTATAGTAGGAGGCGCAGGATAGTCACGATAACCGTGCTGTTGAACACGAAGAGAGGTTAAAAGTAGTTACGATCAATAATAAAATTGCTTTCAAATGCACATCATCAGGACAAATGTATCAACCATCTTAGAAAACAATAGGTGACGTTTTACCGACATTAAATTTAAAATTGAACACAGTATATGAGTGAAAATAAATTGAAACATAATAGATTTGCTATAGTGTGCCTGAATTTTTAATATGAGCTTATCAAACAAGTTAATTGTGACATTACTTCTACCTGGAGTCGTGTAATGTCCTCTCGGTTGCGGACGTTACTTTTTCGACTTTGCATAACATGATAACTGAAGTATCTAAATACGTTCTAACACTATTGGAGTATCAATTAAGAACATTTCCTATCATTCACCAAACACGAACTTCTAAACTGGCTCCTGCGTTGGATGAATTGGTGAGTTCGAAAACAGACCAACTTAGAAAAAAAAATTGTTCAGGAAACACCTAAAACTGCGCAGTGGGCGAAGAAGTTAGTTTATGAAAAACCTTTTCGGTGCCAAAGGACAGGTACTTAGAGACTTAGTAAACCACCAAGTTGAAATCGATACACCATGTTTGATGACAGAAAATTAAGTGTTTAAAACTTTCCGAGTTGGTGTGTTTTCGTTCCCTCCAACTTTCAGATACAGATTTTTCATGGTCTGCTCTGAAAAATTTATATTTTTCGACCTGAATAACGCTTGAATAATTATATAACTTGTTGGTACAAGGTAAACTGAACCGAAAAAAGAAAACCCCAAAATTTGCTGGTCGCCCGTTTCCTTTGAAATGGCCAAAAATTGGTATTTCCAATGAAATACTTCGATTTTTCCCTTTTCCCATCGCTGTTTCGAGCACTTCCGATTGCAATTTCGAATTTTTTTTTTTTGCGTGCAGATGCTTCTATCCATAAATGTTACTAAACCGTAAAAAAGTGAATATCGAAAAAAACCTGAGTTGGTGTGTTTTCGAACAAGCTGATTCAAACGGCATCAAGTTAAGTAGCTTTTCTGTTGCGGACATTCCATTTTCACATGCCTTCAAAAAATGAGGAAAAATATTGCATATATTTCGACTTTTCTGGTTTTTGAAGGCTGTTTGATATTTTTGAGGAACTTAACTGTAACTCCATGTGGTTTTAAATCATAAAGATGCTATGTGCAATGAATAAAAATTACTCCTAACATAACCTCGAGAGTCACTGGTCTCGACATGCCTTCAGAAAAACTGGAAAATCTTGCGAATCTAGGAACTCGAAATGAAAAGTGAACTCATTTCATAAAATTAAAGAGTTTTCCTGTACGATGCACAAAATTTCATCATACCAAAGTTAAGTTGACATTTTAACCTCAAGGTACCGTTTAGAAATAATTCCCCAAAAGAGCATTTAAATGGGATGAAACATTTGGAATAGGATACCTAAGATTAAATTAGGAAGTGGTGTTTGGTTTTATTCGATAACAATCACAATCTGAATGTTGTGTACACTGTAACTCACCATTCGATCATAAGTATCCTATTGAGACAGTATTCACCACACCCTTTCTCATGGGGTGCTAATTCCTCTTTGGTTGATCCACATTCGCAGACCATTCGCTTGGCATCCTTGCTAATAGACCTGGATTGTCAAAAAAACAAGATATAAATTGTAGGGAAATGCTGTGCAGTTTAAGCAAAATTATTAAAGAAAAGCTAAGTTCACTAATGATAACTTGATTTAAGATAACGTTTTAATTATTGTTAAACCATTTCCAAAATTAGCTACATTGACCTTTGTGACAGTTGTATTTTTAATTACATATTTCATTGGGCAGTTTTGTGAGAAAAACTAATTTCAAGAGTTTTTTAGAGTAGCTTGGACAAGTTTTCCTCCAAGCCTCATAGATTTCCTCGCTTTTCACACGACTTCACAATCCAAAATCATGGAGAAAGCTGAATGAAGAGAGGAAATTTTTATGGAAGACGAGGAGGATCGATTGGATCATCATTAAAAAGTTCAGCAAATAGAATAAGATATGGATCACTGCACATTTGGTTTGGAGAAATAAAATGTTATTTTTTAGTAACATTACAGAATCCTATGCATTTTGTTGACAACTTTGAGGATCAGATAAAACAAGATAAACTTTCAATTAAAAAGAACACGGTCAGAGGGGGCACAATATAAAATTGTTGATTCATCTGATCAGATTTGAGACTAGCCACAAGTTTGTAAATTGCAACACATTTTTAAGATTATTTGAAAGAGAAAATTCGGGTCAAAATGGGTTCAAAAAGAGTCTCTTTTCATGGTTTTCATGCTTACAATTGGTTCTCCTTTTAAGCTTCAAACGGAAATTCTCTATCAGGATTGGAGACTTCAATTTTCTTACATTGATTTGTTCTGACCATCAAAAACCCTGGTTTGGGCACATAGTGTGTTAAGCATCGATAATAGGAAAGTCAAGTGAAGAAAATTAGGTTAATCTTCTCCTTGAGTTAGATGAATAATCTTTTGGCATAATGGCAAAAAGTAGATTCACAGCGATTTGTAAAATGATGAAAAATCAATTTCCTTACCGTTGCGTCAAGTATTCATTTTCATCTAACATGATGAAATTACGCAGCTTTTCTGCAACTTCACAAGACATTCCTTTTGGAACATCGTTGACAGAAGGAGGTGGTGGCACACATGTTGCTTTAGGCGAACTAAGCTCTGATTCTGATGTGGGCTGGTTTCCACCTGCCATTTCCACTTCTCTTTCACTTGCTCTGCGCCATCTTGACTTCACTTTGACTGGTTTATCTCCATCATAGCTTGGCAGCGGAGGAAGGAGCTCAGGAACTTTGTTATCACTTCTCAATTCACTAACACTATTCACTTTCAAACCATTTGAACGGATCCTACTTGACTTTCGCACACTTGAACTAGAATTAGAGCCCGACTCAGAACTTGTTGTATCAGAGCTACCACTGCGACTGCGAAAATTAGACTTTTCTGAACTATTAAAATTATTGCTAATATTCTTTAACGTTCTCACTTTAGCTCTGTCTGATTTACTTACACTACCATCCAATTCACTGACTTGACTTAAGGACTTAAAGCTGTCATCACACTTATCAAGGCTTGAGCCTACTTTGACACTGCTTTCATCACATTTTGGCTTCATAGGTGACTGTTTTACAAAACCTGTTTCTTGATCGATTGCTTCCTGAAAGCAGTGGACTACAGAGAGGTCGTTCTCTTCTTTTGAATGTTCTTCATCTGATAAAGCACTTTCATCATCTGAGAAAAATTTCCGCTCTGTTGTTTGGCTATCGCTATCACTGTAGTAGATTTTCCGCTCCGCTAAAGAAATAAACTTAGATACAACTTTGCTATCACTGTCATCTTTTTGCACAACTTCTTGCTTTGATTCCTTGGTTGAGCTGACAACATCATCTGAGGTACTGCAAACAGTGTTTTGGATTGGTGCCTCTTTCCACTCACTCGCAGTTGGAGTCCACGTTTTTTCTGAGGGTTCATCTGATATATCATCATCCCCATCATCTCTTTGAACAGTGACTTCAGTCAAATCACCTAAAACCAGAAGGCAAAATAATTCTTTTGATTATAACGGAAGAAGTCAAACAAAGCTACCTACAAGAATTCAGGACCAAAAGATCAAAGCAATTCTCTCATAGGCCTTAGGGTGTGGGGTATCCATGGCTTTTTCTTGGTCCCAATTGTTGAGTGTACCCTTCCAAAATTCAGCCTTAATACTCAAAGGTTGATGATAATCCCTGACCTTGACGATATACCTTAGAGCCCTACATTACCTACCTTCTAACTGTGTAAAAGTTACCTCTTGAAATCAACACTCTTTATCAGAGACGTAGCATCAAGAAGCAATGAAGCAATAAATCGATGTTGAAAACAAACATTCAGAAATAAAAATAGCAGGGAAACGTTTTCATAATTAGTTACAATGCTATACGACTTGTTGCGCAAACGACTTAATGTGTAAGAACAAGACCTGATCATAACTAGCCCTTTTCGCCATTTTTAGGCTATTTTCTTTTGGAATTTCAGAGGTCATTGGCGAAAACAGCGAAATAGAGATCTAACAATTTTTCATGAGGAAACTCTTGCCCACACTATGATCAAAATCTGGGTGGAGAATTACGTGACCTCTCCTTGTGCGTATATTTTGTGACCTTATTAGTCTCCGTCAGCAAAAATTCTCACTGGGCAGAAGAAGAATGAAACTCACCAAGAATCATTTGTTGAATGTCTTGCGGCTTGTATGAACTACTCATGTCTTCAAGATCATTGTCACTTTCCAAATCATTATCCATTTCATTCTCATTTTCATTCTCTCCGTTGTCATCTGCTGGTGTATCTGAGTTCAAACAGGCTTGGTCTTCAACCATCATCACTTTTCCAAATTTCTTGTGAATGAGTGGAGTTTTACCGCTGCTCACTGAGGATAGGGTTTTTGGGTAATCAGCTTTATCTTTTGTTAGAGAGTTTCTTTGGCACTTATCACTTTCTGTATCTGAACCATTACTACTTGCATGTGATTTTGCAGTGCTCGCACGTTTTGGTGGTGCCCCTGCTTTGCCTCCTCTCTTCTTCCGAGGCATGTCACTTGGCTTTAATCATCTAGAACAAACGGGTGAAAAACTCTTCATATTGTTATTTTTAGTGGGATTCCTATGAATTGTAAACTCTTGAGTGCCTACAGACTTCAAGAAAGGAAATTCTCTGGTTTTCCAGGTTCTTCTTGACTTTTATGGGTTTATCTACCGACAAAAAAAAGGTGAGATGAAATTAGTTATATACCTGCTTCATATTTTTTGTATTTAATACTTATTATTCATAACAATTATCTTATACATGACCTCAAGGCTTTAATGTCAGCAGTGTGAGTGCTGTTAATCCCATAAAGTAGTGAACTCCATTAGAAAAACTTGGTGTTTCTTTCAGAGGTCACAATTTGGATAAAAAATGTTGGTTTTGATGATTGTGGAAACTCTAACAACAGATGAATGATGAAGAATGATGAAAAAATTTCAAGACGTTTCTGTGCAAAGATCTTTTCCCTCAATTGCTTCACCATTGAATGCATGTTTAATTTACTAAAGCTTAGGGCTTGTAAAGCCGAAAGTAATGTGCATTCAATTGTATTCAAATAAACTTATGCAAAGAGAGGTAATTTTTCATTGAGGAGAATCGAATGACATAAATAAATTAGCATTCGGTCATGGTACAGCTTCCCATGAGAGGTGTGCGGGGTTCTTTCTGAGAAATGTGACAAGGCTATAAATTTTAGAACACCTCAAAACAGAAAAGAATTGAAAAAACGGAAATTATGAACGTTTTTTGATAATGCCACAATTTTCTGCCACCCTACAACATCAGCAGCATCTTCCCTCAACTTTTCAATATTTTTCAGTCAGTGAGAAAATGTGGAAAGGTTTCTTCAATTTCAGGGAGAAATCTGCACAAATTACTGACACAGGGACGTGACGTGAAAAAGTCGCAAGTTGTGGAAAAATGGTGAAGCCGGGCATTTCTTGGGTCTTTCTACATTTTGAATAATCTTCCCACAACTTTTCATTTACTTTCATCCAGTAGGGGGAAATGTGGAAAAGTCCTGAAAATGTGGAAAGCCTCCAATAAGTTCACATGGAAATCAGAGACATCTTCAAGTCTTTCCCCGATTTTGAAACAACAAATTCATCAGAAGTTAAAGTAAGAGATAAGACTCGATCAATCAGAATCAGTCGACCAACCCTCCCTCCCCTCTCCAGGAATAGTTCGAAATTTCCTGCTAATGGGCCTGTTGCAAACTTTTACTAGAGCAAAAATAAGAGTTGTTACTCATAGAAAGTGCCTTAAAAATCACGATGAGCGCATCGTGTGAGGCTAACAACGTTGTACTACTGGACTAAATGACACTATATTTCTACTACAATTAGCTAACTATTATACTCCCTCTTACTGGCAATTACTGGCGATTTCTGAGTATCATCAATTTTGCTGGATATTTTTTTTAATGCGGGGCAAAGGTAAAATTCTGTTTATGATATTACGATATTAACTTCCCGCAGAATTGCAGGAACATTTCATGCAGGATTCTTTCGATAAAATGGAGGAGAATGGGTGATAAAACAGTCATCAAAAAGCCTTATTCAAAAGCGGTCATTTCCAACCTCGCCCTGATCTTCGAAATACATTCAGGGTCGATAGAGGATCACTTTCCAAGTTCAAAATACTGACGATTTTTGAAATCAAAAAATTACGGATAGGGGGGAAGGGGGGGACAAAGATAAATGTTCAAACTCGTGAACGGTTTGTCGTAAAGAGATGATCTTAGTCTCAAAATTTAGAGAAAACCACAAGCTTTCAGACAATGGTGACAAAATTGGGTCATTTTGAAAATGTCATCCATTCTTGTCAAGTTGCCGTAGTTCAAATTTTCAATTTTTATCTGGGGCGGTACCTTTATACACATAGACAAAATCATTTGTCAAAAATGACAAGATCAGGATAAATTATTAGTATGCAATAAATACAGGGGAATCAAAGTTTTCGATCAAAAAAAAATTTATGTTTATCTTCAACGCTTCTCTGGGCAGAAATAAGAGGAAAAAAGAGGAATTGCTAATAAAAGCCTACCATTTGAGTTTTTTAAATTTGAGTCCATCCTAGAGAAACGATTTGAAAAGAGTCACGATTTTTTAAGGTTGATGAAGCGAGCGTCAGCTGAGGCTAGTCCTGTAACATTCATGTGTCTTGATATTTTGTTCTTTTTAAATAATTTTCTTCGGAAATGAGCTAATGGGGGGGTAAAAATGCATAACCTTGCAATTCGTGATCGGTTTGGGGGCATTGGTGATCTTGGGACTCGGAACAAACCAGGTCCAAGTATACCGCATCCACTTTGAAAAATCATATCTCTCCTCCAATTTGTTTCCCCGGGATGAACTTGTGCTTGTTTTAAAGCTTAAACGGTTTACTTTAATCAGAAAATATTTTGATTACTTTTTGTGCGATTCTCTCAACGTCACAGCTGAAAATGTGAAAATTTGAGATACGGCAACGCGGCAGCAATTGATGAAATTTTCAAAATGGACCAATTTTTTAAACATTGCCTGAAAGCTGGTGGTTTTCTCTACATTTTGAGACCAAGATTATCTCTTTACAACAAACCATTAGCGAGATAAGCGAGTTTACATTTTTTTACTTTGACTTCCCCCCTCCACCTCACCCTTGATTGCCCAATTTAAAAAATCGTCAGTGTTTTAGACTCGGGAGGTAATCCTCTTTTAACTTTTAAAATACTTCGAAGATCAGGCCAAGGTTGAAAATGGCCAATTTGGTGTAGGGTCCTTTCTTCCTTGCTCTAGTCACAAGAACAAGTAGAGGCAAGTGAGAATTGGAATCGATGCGCGATACGTCATTACGAATCTTTGTTTACATTTCAAAGAGCCTAAAACGTGAATTCTCACAGTGAATGGGCGAAAATGTCTGTGTGTGTTTCATGTGCGTCTGTGTTAGTGACTATGCGCTCACAAAGAAAAGAGTGCGTCTTCATGAGAGCGTTATCAGGCAACGCGCCGCGCCGTCGCTAAATAGTCACCGGAGACTCTGCGCACAACTAAGTTCGTTGATGGTACATTCTAGTAGCCAAAAGTATTTGCACAAACAATTTTTTAGAAAATTTGTTCACTCTCTGTTAATTTGAGTCACACTTTGAAATGAAAGCTCAAACAAATGTTGAAACAAATTGTAGCCTACTAGATAAGTAAGGAGGTAAACCATTAGTCAAAGAACCCCTTTTGAAGAATAAAATGAAAACATAGTTTAATCTTTACTGAAAGCTAAAATGCTCAAGAGCGCTTTTCACAGTCGGCCCACAAAAATGGACAGTGACTATCTCCGTTTTCTGAGTGCTCTTTTGATGGTCCAATCATTTATAACGGTAGAGGGTTACTGCCTCTCTCTTCTCAATAAAACTGTTTATCTTATCAGTTCCAGATAAAACAGGATATGCAAAGAGGAGGAAAGAAGGGCTTTGGAGAGAATGAAGGATAATGTGTGGAACTTTATTGGAAATGTGTGGAACGTCATTAGATCTTATCTGAACGGCGAAACTCAGAATTGATCGCTCTCTACAATCAAAATCTACAGGCCGTACTAAAAATTAGAAAACAATAGGTAGATTTTCTCGGAGTACTTTTCCAAGGTCAACAATATTTCGGCTCGAAAACGGCAAGGGAGTGCGTCGGAAAAAAGTTACAAATTACTAGCACATAGACAGTGGCCAAGGTGTATTACAGCTAGGTAGTCTAGAATGGAATATCCTTAAACCCGAGGAGACATCTTTCAAGACAGATTTCCATGAAAAAAATTATATTTAAAAAAAAAGAGACATGTTCGATAGATAGTGTGTGAAGCGGCGGTAACGCAGAAGCTTTTAAGGATCTGAGTAAGTCGTATATGCACTGTAATGTAACAAATCGTTTCATTCCAGCGCGTAAGAATATGCCAGTACCATGAGGGAGAAGAGGGTATCGTCGTATTGCTAAAATAATTGCTACATCTGTCATTTCTTTTCTATTTAGAGCGTACTTTTTCCTGGTGTAATGGTCACCTTTTACTTCAATCTTATCCTTTAAGTTGCGGTTTATTATTATAATTGACTCTTAGCTTACTTTTGACTTATCCGCCCAGATTTATACAGACCAGACAGAATACCTTTCTATTTTTCATTTTGTAATTCATTAAAGAAAGTCTAGATCATGCAACTGCAGTATACCTATTTAAATTCTAATTATTTACTATTTCTCATTTTTCACTACTGTTAAAATAATTGACAGTTTGTATTTGTATTTGCATTATTATCTCATCGAAAGCCTTGTAGTTTGATCTATTATTTTGTCTTCATTCTTTGGTGAAATGAAAGAACTCGAAAAACAAGTAGAGTTTGCTAGTGTAATTTTTGTTTGTTGTTCTTGTAAAATTAAAAGACATGTTATAACACGGCCGAGTTCAGCATTCAAAGGAGACAAAGAGGGTTAAATGTATTCAAAATGTACTCTTAGCCGTATATTTCTATAAAATAACTTCACAGACACTTAAAGTATGCATTGACTCTTATTTTGGTCATATTCAACTTTACAACCACGCCCCCTCCCCAGAAAAGTTAAAATTGAGCGCCATCTTGGATTTTAGTTTTTACTATGCGTTGGATGGTTCAGTGGGCCGATTCCTTAAACTCTACGACCCAAAATACCTATATTCAGACATATCGCACACCCCATTCTGATATGGCCACGGAGTATCAGGAACGGTCTAACCGAAATGGCGGCCGAATTAGGCCCTCACATGGACCAAATCACGCTTGTTTGGCATGAAATAATTTTTTTTTTTTCTTTTTTCGGAATCTCCGACCTCGAAAACATATATCCAGAGTGTTTACTCCTTTCTCTCTGCGACACAATTGACGTTTTGGCCGCTAAAGAGTCAAATTCGGCTGCTATCTTGGAGTTTGGGCATTTCCGTGTGTCGAGGGGTCTGTTAGACATTTTTTTTGGAATCTACGACCCAAAACACATGAGAAACGACACCTCACTCGATGTTTTGTGCCGTTTTAC